TCCTCTTCTTCTCCTCCTCCTCCTCTTCTTCCTCCTCCTCCTCCTTCTTCTTAAAGATAACTTTTAAATTTTTAAATATATTTCTTTTATTTTATATGTATGAGTATTTTAATGCAATACATATCTGTGTATCATGTGTACCCTGGAACTGGTGTTATGGGGCGATAAGAGCCATCATGTAGGTGCAAGGAATCAAACCAGGACCTTCTTTAAGAACAAATGCACTTAACCACTGAGCCATCTCTCCAACATGCCTGCCTCCACTATATATGTGTTTTTTTTGTTTGTTTTTTGTTTTGTTTTTTTTTTTTGTTTTGTTTTTTGTTTTTTTTTTTTTTGAGACAGTGTTTCTCTGTGTAGTTTTTGGAGCCTGTCCTGGAACTCACTCTGTAGACCAGGCTGACCTTGAACTCACAGAGATTCACCTGCCTCTGCCTCCCAAGGGCTGGGACTAAAGGCGTGCGCCACCATCGTCCGGCTTATCTATTTCTGTTTTCAATGAGGTTCCCAACCGGTTTACTTCGAATAAAGATGTTCTGGTATATTCCCGTCTCCCTCTTCCTTTACATTTATAACTTATGTACCCTTTATAGCCTATACAACTGATGAATTTGGAATTCATCAAGTTTTACCTAAAATCCAAGATCAAGCAACAATGGGATTTTTTTTCCTAGTGTGAAAACATTACCTATCTTTTGATCAGTGGTATGCACATCCGTAGAAGACAGATTCTCTTGATTTAGCCATATCAGTGAAGGAGTCGTGAGAATTGTCACCACCAAATAGGAGTTCCTGATTTTATTTATGTCTGAAAAAACTCAATGGTGGAGATATTAACAGGAGGAAAAATTTGGTGAAGAACATGCAGTGGTGGGTTTGATGATGCCATCACCTTGGAACATGAATCAGCACAAAAATCAGCTTGGACCGTGAAGGGCTAAACTTAACTTTACAGGCTCCATCCTAAGGAAAGGGCTACCATCTTAGACTGCCTGCTGTACTCAGTTCCTTCAGGAAGAATCTCAGGAATGTGCCATGATAACTTGAACGGATACAGAGCAGTAAAGTTTAACAGGATCCAGATACCCCTGCAGCCATCCTGTCTGTGGTTTATGGCCCCTGGAGATATCTAGATAATCCTGCCGAGGAGCTCAGATAATCCTGCTCAGCAAGTTGTGGTTCCCTGCCAAAAAGTCTAAACCAATGGCTTCAAAATATGGGTTTGCGCCCAGAGTCTGGACCAATAGTTTCAAAAAATCACCTTGTCCCGTACCCCTTCTACCCAGTCCCACGTTGCCAATTCTCAGCTTGTGATTTTTCCCTATAATTTCCCTATAATTTTTCACACTTGTGGGCCCATGGCCGCCGAATCTTCCTCTATCCGCTGCGTTGGAGCATAGGTTGGTGGCTCAGGTTCAAATCTGATAACAAAAAGACTCTTGTATGCTTGCATCGGAAACCGGCTCCTTGGTGGTCTCTGGGGGGTTCTGAGACACGGGCACACTAGGACATTATGCAGAGAACAAAGAAACGAGCTATTTCCCTTGTCTCTGTAGGAACTGTCCTCACAGGACCATGGTCCTCTTGGGGCTGATACCTGATGGTTACAGTGTTAAAATGATTATTTCTAAAATAATACAAAATTTGGATTACTTTGTCCAGGACTCTGGTAGATTATATTTGACGTTGTTTTGTATTGATCTATTATTTGAGATGGACAACTGTACTCATTTTCGGGCTCCAGGCCAATGCTGTGGTGAGCTGACAACCATTCAAATACGATTTGAATGTGGTTCCTAAGTGTGACTTCCAGGACTGTAGAAGCAAATGCCCTCTGTCACTCGCTGCCCCCTCTGGGTTGGAGCAAGAGGTGCTGGCTGGCTCGGGTGGAACTGCTTAATTGGTAACCTAAGATCTGTTTACAAAAGTAGATGTGCAAGACACTTTGCTCACCCAAGTCACCCCGCAGAGTGGTTTGACCTTAACTAGCTCACAAATTAAATATCGGCTTTTGCAGACAAACGACTAATCGGCATCCGCCATCAACTGTAGTGGTGTGTGAAGATGACATATTGCGTCTCTGAGACCTTAGGCAACTGTGATTTATTAACTGTCAACTTGACAGAATCTGGAACCACTTGGGAGCTAAGCCTCTGGGCACACCTGTAAGGGATTATTTGGACTCTTGGGGTGTTATGATGAATTTGTTGATCAGGTTAATGGAGGTAGGAAAACCAATCCTCCACCATTCCCTGACTAGGTTAAAGACGCCTTGATAACTATTCATCATTCATAGTTGGAAGCTACTAGATTAAATAATTTTTTAAAACTATAATTGAAGGATATTATGTAGAGATATGAAGAAAATTAAGATAGAAATAGTTAAAAATAAGTGTAGTAGGTGCAGAGCTAGCTACCAATTGGGCGATGAGGGAGCAGGAGATTTACAATTGCATTTTAGACTATCCTAAACTGTTTATTTTTTGCATGTGTATATATGTTAATTTCATTATTATATTTTTAACTTTTTAACTCTTTCATAAGTAATATATCTCAGAGACGCCTGAGGCCTGTAGGGGGAAAACAAGCTATTATCACAGGTGCATTAGTTAAGGTTGGTTAGCAGCTGTATTCAGTTAACTCCAAAATGTCTAATGGCCCAAGCACTGTAGATATTTATTTTTCATTTTCAGAGCAAGGCAGCTCTAGGTGGGGAGATGGGGCTGTAGACGTGGGAGGAGGGAGGAAAGCTGTCTGTTCTACGTCAGCACTTCAGAACCAAGGTCAGCAGTCGTTGCCATCTTTAGCTTGTGGTTGTGAAGGTCACCTGGGAATCAGCATCCAGAAGACAGGAAGAGAAAGAACACAAGGCACTACCCAGAAGAGGATCGTTACAAGGCTCTCTCTCCCACAAGGCCGTGTACTTCTGCCCACACTGGTAACCTCCATCACTTGACTACACTCCACTACAAGGAAGGCTGGGAAATATGGGCCCCTGCATTCTCTACAGAAAAGGGAAGTTCCTAGGGTTGATCTGCAGTTAGCTGTCTGTCACAGATTATCACTGATCCTTCTAGATTCCCAACTTGGGGGACTCACAGTTAGATCTGATGATACTGAGGGCAAGACCCTCACTCCAAAGACAAGGAGAGAAGATGGGTTTGGGCACGCCTCGGTCTACCTTTCAGTTCACGGAAAGTGTAACATTCCCAAGTCTACTGGCAGTGTCCACCTAAACTGGCCCACTAGCTGAGTTGTTTTCTGAGTTCACAGGATATGGACAGGACACCCCACAGATACAAGGGGATGAACACCCCAAGGACAAACCTCAGCCAAAGGTGGAGTGGGATCTGGCAGGTAAGAGCAGGTTCATCAGGGT